CCGTTTGGCGGGAGTTGGCCATTTTTTCGCCTGATGATGGGTTTAAATATTTTGCGCTACGCTAGCTCCGCTGTAAACGTTGTTGGACAACGAATTGCTTTTCTTAGAGGTATTGGTGAAGAGGACCAACATTAAGTGGGAAACATCTGTATACCGAAAAACCAATCACATGGGATATTACCTGAAGTACGATTCCAATCCCCATCAATCGACTAAAAGAGGAATCTTCAAGACTCTATGAGACCGTACTTTCGGGCTCTGTAATACGAAGGAAGGTCTCAAGAAGGAACTAGACATCATCAAGAATGATCTTCAACGGAATAGCTTCTCCAAAGTGATGGTAGAACAGACTTTGGCTAAAAGACAGCAGGATCCTCGCAAGGAAGAGAAGCCATCACAACCAGTGCTTGCACTTTCCTACGTCAGAGGATTATCGGAAAGGATAAGATGAATTTGTTCCGAGTACAACATCAGAACCTGCTTCAGATCTGGGAACACTATCCGTAGCAGCCTCACGAAAACCAGGCCATCAAACGCGGACTGTAATTCCAAGAACTTCATTAACCGGATACCCTGTGAGTGCAGAAAATCCTATATTGGTGAAACTAAGAGGCCATTGAAAGTTCGCATTGCCGAGCACAAGAAACACACACAGCGAGGGGAAACCAGCAAATCAGAAATAGCACAGCATGTTTGGACCCATCAACATAACTCGAGTGGTCCCAAGCTGAGATCCTACACAGAGAGGAACATTTGTTTAGGACAAACCGCATACATGTTGTCCAACAACGGTTTCAGCCAAGCTAGCATAGAGATACGCAACATATGGAAACCCAACATCAAGCGAAAAATGGCCAACTCTCCTCAAACGGTGATCTCCCACTAAACCAGTGAAGCGGAAAAAGGAAAGCGGAGATAAGTGAAAGTACTCGAATGACCCATAAATAGTCATTTCTCGGAGGAATCAGTCCAGTCATCACCCGAATACGATTGTGGATACTAACAATCGAAACGTCGTGAAGTAACTTGGCTTGGAGTCTCTTAACTTTTTATTTTCTGTTCAATTATTCTATTTTCACTTTTATTTCACTATTATTTCATTTTAGGTTTTTTGCCTAATATAATTGTTATTTTCAGCTATTCATTTTTAATTCTTCTTTAGTTCTTTCAGGGATTTCAAATCATTTTATATGAAATGAAATTCTTATGATATTATGTTTGAATTCATATATTCATTATGTACCTCATATTCTGAGGTGCACTCTCAGGTGCAACGCCTCAGAGTTGATGGTAAGTATTCTGAATTCTGTTCGATAGAGACATGCACCTCAATAGAACCGGTTTTTGATATATAAACCTAACATTTGCTTGGTATCAGAATTTCTGTAAATTAATATATGTGTTAAAAACGCAAATAACTATAATTTTTTTAGGAACTTTGGAAACATTCCATTGTGGAATATGTAACCGACATTATAAATACCATAGTACGCTGCAACGACACCTCAAAACTGAGTGTGGAAAATATGGAAGGGAAGTCTGTCGCTTTTGCAACAGAGTTTTCAAACACAGATTTAATCTTCAGAGGCATATTAACTGCCTTCATAGAGGCAAAAATGATTTGTGATATATTTTAATAAATTATATGAAGCGTTTGCAACTTTTTGGTCACGAATTATACGAAAGTAGATTCATGCAAAACCAGCCGCATATATTGGAAAGAACTTCATTACATCTTTTTTCTAGAGAATAATCAGATTATTAAGAGGTGAGTATGGATAGGATTGTTTGTATGCAATGTGAAATGTATCAATTTTATGAACAATATTGGACCCACTACTGGTCCTTGAGGAACATCTACACCGATGTTAAGATAATAAGAACCACCCCTGAAAGACTTACGTACAGGCGACGAGCATGTAGATAAGATTTTATCCATTCAAAGGGAAGTCCCACAACACCAATTTCAATCAATTTAGTTTTCGGGGTGGTATGGTTGATGTAGTCGAAAGCCTTGCTGAGATCACAGAAGATCCCATCAGGGAGACCAGAAAAGTCTAGGGTTATTCAACATGCCTTAAGGAATGGCAAAACTTGTATTAGCCTCGGTTTTTCTGCTACTTGGGGTCGGTTCGACTCGTCCAACACCAACAAATGTTTCATCAACCAAAAAATGTTGCGCTACCAAAAAAAATGTCGCAGAATCATTGGAAATATTAAAATGTTATATAATCGGCAATCAAATATAGAATCAACGTCACCTATCTGAATTTTCATGTTCCTTATGGCAGGTTTTCCTTAGGTGTCGATTATCAAATATCCTGGTAAATGGAGTGCACAGCGATTATTTTCCAAAGAGCGAGAGAGTTTTGTAAAACCAGTGAAACCAAAACCGTAGCAAGCAGAGAAAGTACCGATCTCGGTTTAGAGCTATATATTATAGATTCACGTGAAATGAGGTATGTGGGAGCAGTATGTCATTCTACGCCCTTCACGTTGATATTTCCATAGAAAAATAGTTTTCTTTACTCTTCAGTGAGTTTGCAAATCCATTAAGGAGATTTATGAAAATTTGCAAATTTTTTTTTTGGTCTAGTAGGTTCAATAACACATATGCTTGATCTTGATAAGAACTTTGATTTTTTTGTTTTTCAGTGATCCCTCTTTGATTTGTATATCCCGAGGTTATTTTTTACAGATTTATAATCAACACCCTTTTTTGTTTGATCGCCAAAAATATTGATCCTATTCGACTTATTTCTCAGTACAGTAAGAACTTCTCGACCTATGGATGTTATCAACTCTAAATACTTTTGTAATCTTCATAACCCTGATAAACATCAATTGCTAATTTCGTATTATCTTCATTACCTGATTTCTAATCTCTTCTGAATATTTGTTGTCACGTATTCCTTGGTGATTTCCTACCACGTAGTGACGGCTACATCCATCAAGATATTTTATTTATGAGCCGCATTGATATCTCATATTCTATACCACTGCATGACAGTCATTAATATTTTCTACATGGAATAGTTCCTCTTGAGATTGTTTCTGTCCATATTGAATAATATAAGTACTTACTAGCTGTTTTTGTTCAATAATGCTAAAAAATATTAAATTAGGTCCTACTTAGCACATAAAAAAAATTTGCTCCTCAAATATTGCCAATTTTGCATGAGCATATGACTTGAGAATTACTTCAATGTACTTGACATAAACTGACTGGGTTTGTAGAGTATTTTTCTGTAAGCAGATGATCCAAAATTCATAATTTCACTCGATTTCAACAAAAAATAAAACACTCAATGATCTTAGTTTTCAAGTTTTTTTATCACAGTACTATATTAAAAGAACAAAATTCGAATGCAATTTGTTCGAAATAACATATCAACGGTCAGCAACAGGCCAAGTATACATTATCAAGTAGATAAGGCATACAATATAATAATAATAACTTATTTTATTTTGAGTTTCCTAGCTAACCTCTTTTACCAGTACCTACAACTGATATGGTTTGATTAGATACGCAGAAAGCCAGAAGGCAATTTGAGTTCATAACAAACAAATGCAATATGCTGGTTGTAGCTGTCCTAAAAAAAAATTTGAAATATTTGGCTGCGCTCAACACAGAGTTACAAGGAAATGTTATATCAGTATGTTATCTGATACAAAAAGTGTCTGCTTTTCGTCGCAAGCTGTATATCTTTGAAAACGATATTACAAAACAAAAAATTCATTCATTTTCCGACAATTCTTGAATATAAAAAGAACTCTTAAGAAGACATTGTTCAGTTATTGAGAATCCGGCCGATCTTAAAAACGATGTAGCGGCAGAAGGGACAGATGTGGCTGCCAAGTTGTTCAATCTGTCAAAGCCATCACTTCAAATAGAGAACATCGATTTTCACGATGTTTCTTTGCAAATGTATGAAACGGTATCCTAATGAGAATTTTGGGCCAAACATGTCTCGGAAAAATATGAAAATTGTAAGAAACTAGATATACATTTGGCCACTATGTTTATTTCGACATACGTATGTGAAACATCTTTCTCAAAGATGAATTTTTTGAAAAATAAATATCGTTCGAGATTAACGGACGGCCAATAGAAGACCCACTTCGAATTTGCTATTCGTTTCGAGAACCAAACTGGCTCAAGACCGTCGGTGTAGTTTCTCACATTAATTTTAGGTCTTGTGTTTTATAATTCAGAATTTGATTTGAAACGAAAATAATGCATAGGGAGCACCTCATTGTTATCAGTTGTTTTTTTTTTCTGGAACTCATTAAAATTTTTCCAAAGTATTCGGACCTCACCTAAAACTACTTGCCGACCCCTGTACTAGGTACACATATTGTATGAGCTTATTGATTACCGAATTAAAATACACGATTTTTGAATTTTTGTTTCACATTCTATTTTTAACCACTACTGGTTGATTCAAAGAAGTTGATTTCAAACATTCTCTAATTATTAATGTTTGAAAATAGACCCCCAGTACATTTCAAACAATAAATACGTGATGGGTAAATACCTATGTTGTTAAAACGAAAATATTTTATTGAATATTGCATACCTATTGAATATTGAATACCCTACCTATTATTGCGAGAAGTGGTTCAAAGATACTTATGATACATTTGTTCACACTTTCAGAAAATATCAGAAAGACCTTTATTAGTGAGAGTATATCCTCTTTCTATTGACGCAGTAGGTATAAAATCTACTGACAATGCACTACAGCAGGCACAGCACACGTAACCTGAACGTGAAATATGAAATAGTGACTTCTCTTGTTCAATACCGTATTCCTACGGGCGAGTCTATCATCACCCTAGCGACGTTTTAGGGGAGGCCGCTCACATTTTAGAGAGCTATAGGTAATAGGTGTAGATTCAGCGGCATAGGCTATTTGTTTTTTATCACTATTAGTGACTCAATACTCACAACTGTGCTTTATTAGGTATGTGCTGTGAAATATTGTTGGTGAATTTAATAGTTTTTCATGCTTAGTTCGAGCGAAGTATTATTTGGGTAGAAATGAATTGAAATGAATTCACATTCCTAGATGTTGTAACCGAACAATGTGGCAATGTCGAAAACGTTATGTATTGTTTTCTATGGATTATTTCGTTCGATGAAAGCAGATACGTCATATTGTAGTGAAGGTTAGTTTATGGATAAATTGAAAAGAAGATAAAGGTAAGATATTTGAATTAATATGGTTTGCGTTTTGCAAGTGCAGACTTGTCGGTAGTATGTATACTTTTCAAGGTTAAGTCACGGTAATTTTCTAAGTACCTATGAGAGGTGATGTCGGTTTCTAGGTTCGTGGACTGGATAGCTATGACGTCACAAAACTGGTGGAAGGGGTAATAGATTTTGACTAATTTCTCAATGAGTACTCGCTTCATTCATATTGTTGAAGTGAATTCCGATAAGAAAATATTGTGAAAAGTTTCAGCTACATAGATAATGTATAAAGAGATATATACAAAATGAAAAATAAAATTGTAGATTGTTTTACTCCAAATTAGATTTATCAGAACTCATCTGAAAAACGATTATAATATGATTTTGAGCTTTTCGATAGAATCGGGTTACTAATCCTCACCTGATTCATGGTTATTTTACTCCACATGCTTCTAAAAATTAGCCAATACCGACTGTAGTGGTTGGATGGAATGCTAAATAATTGTCCCTGCTGGTTATCTGCATCACTTCTTTAGATTCGAGCTCAGAAAGATATTAGCAAATACTTTGTTTTCGATTCATTTATTTTCACAACTGGTTGAGCATAATTGGTTTTCGAGTTGGATGATCCACATCAATCATATTGATTGATATTTGTTTGTTCAATATTTTTCATTCATCATCAATCAGAGAAGGTACTCTCGACTTGTGTTTGAGCAGACCCAGAACTTAAGCTACTATCCAAGATTCATTCGGGAAAGTGATAGAAATTCAAAAACACAGGTTATTTCAACTGAAAGAAATAGGGATTCAATAGATTAACATAAATGAAATCTAGCTACCTGCACTGAAATACATGAATCAAGTCAATTATGTGAATCAATAGAAAATAACTCACTGAAAAATTTTCAATACAGAAAGTTTACGAAACTACGACATATATTTCGTTCTATGAAAGGTTCCCAAACAGGACTGATGTTCTTCTACGGTCAGTCTAGTGGAAATACTTTTAAGTTCTCACAGAATGAATTTGAATATATGGTTCATGCAACCAATAATAACTTAAACATGTATATTAAAATCAACAAAGATCTCAGATAGATCAGGAGTTTATAAATTGTCCGATATTTTACATGGGTCAAACTAGAATACATTTAAAATCATGAAAACTGCATTCGAAATGAAATTTCGAACTACGTAGGTTAGTACTACACCTACCGTAAACGGTAGGTGTACTACTAACTACCTACACCGTAGGTTCTAGTAAATGCCTGCCGGAAAACAATTACTTTCCCGGCTAATATCACGTTGGATATTGCATTCTTCTTCTTCTTCGCATTCACTGTTAGCTTCATGGTTCTCTTCATTTTCACAATGATCTTCTGTTTTTTACTTAATCACCAGAAAATGTATCATCTTTGTCATCATCATATAAGTTTTCCAGTTAAGGGGTGGTTTCTCTCGAAGGTATATATTACTTAATCTGGATGATCGGAACCTGAAAATGCAATATATTTCAATGCAATTAATATAATTTTCAACTGGAAAATGAATATTTCCAAATAAAATTCCGAAATATTCATCTCTCCCAAATATCTACACCGTAGGTTAGGTTAGGTTAGGTTAGAACCGTAGGTTCTAGTAAATGCTTGTCGAAAAACAACAACTTTCCTGGCTAATACTACGCTGGATATTGAATTATATTCGACAGATATTTCTCGTTCATCTAGCAGCAGGACCATGCTAAAATTATTCGAGTAGATCACCTACAGACCGGTTTCGAGGTGTTACCTCTCATCAGTGCAGGGAAGATCCGACCCAAACAGCAAAGTGCCTGGGACTCGGATTAATTTCGACGCGGCTCAACTGCAAGTATGAAACCTTCGTCAAAGAGAAAGATTGGTAACTAGTAGGACGGTAGCTGGTAGGACAATAGCCGGTCGGGTTGACGTGGGTGCTTTGCTCCACTCACTCAATCGACCGCTGTGTGAATCGGTGATTCAAGCCACAGGCCGGACGATCGATTTCCACTCGCTATCTTCCAACCCGTGTTAGGAATGACACGTTAAAAGGTAAGACCTCGTTAGTCCTTAGCTCGCACAAGTTTCGACTTTTGCGAGTTGTCGTTCGTAGAGTGGCGGTAGCTGGTTAACGGAAACACAGAAATTTTTTTTGAAACAGCTTCGTATCGTGAACAAAGCCCCAAGCGGGGAAGATAATCCCATTCATGAATACTCTAACTACTGAATAAAAGTTTCAGACTCACGTACTCGTAAATGCTATCGGCTACTGAATATTACGACGAAATTCTGATTCAACTCACTAATTCAAAGTGCTCAAATCGTCTACTATTTCTAGAAACTGCGAGACCCGACACTTGACCAACACCGAAGATTTCCGGCAATTTTAGTCCTATCACCATAGATTTGACGAGCAATAGCAGAGATAGTCAAAGTAATCTTTAGACATTTCATGGACCTACTTATAGGGATGGGTATTTTCTTGAAAATGTTTGATATTAAGGCATTTCCAATATTCGAATCCCTAGAGAATCACCGCACTATAAAGTGTAAATTCCTAACTGCCATCAATCTTATGTTTCAGGATATGTGCATATATGTCACTCTTTCAATTGAATGTTCATGTTTTTAATATCAATTGAGAAAGAAACGTCTTCTAAATATATATATTGTATAATTTAGGGGCAAAATAACCAATGAAAGTACTTAGTTACAATGTTATCAAGTCAACTTATTTTTTTTAGTTGTAATATGGTATACTATTGTTAGCGGAATCCATCATCAGGTATTGCGTATTACATTATTTTCCACAAAAGTGTAATAAAAAGCAGATGCTCTCGTCGTCAGGTCTTTTCCTGTTTTGTCTGAACATTTTTCTGTGAAAATAAATATGAAACTATCAATGGTAGGCAAACAAGATCAGTTGTGATATGGTTGTTCAGATTTTATTACTCTTATAAGCCACATAGAGGGATCCTTCTACTTTGTTGGTCCTAAAATATATACATCAATTGTCAATCTGGATTACATACAGAAAAGATCCATCTGCTTGATTGGAGACGCGAACATCACTTGCAACCTTGATAGTGTGAAACATCGAAGAAAGGTTGAGTATTTGTTTCTGTTCTATAGATACTTTCACGGGAAGTGTTCAAGTGACTTGGCACATTTGATTTCACCAAGAGCGGTACATATCAGAAATACGTGACGGACTTTGTCTGCTCATCGTTATGAGGTTCAACTCAGTACACCTCGAACTTCACCGTTTAAGAATTCTCTCATTCGGAAAACTATTTCGTGTCATAAACTTCCTGGCAATGTTTTTCCAAATGGCTTTCAAATCCAACGTGAATCGCTACTTAAGGCATTCTTAGAGTGCCTTAAGGATTTTCCTGTAGTGCTTATGTTTTCTCCATGAAAAAAAGAATTGAACAACTTGCCAGTTTTATGGAATATAAACAAAAAAACTTAATCTACACGAATAGAATGATGATTGATATATCTGTTGCTCAAATGTGATATATTCTTCATTTTATTAATTTTCCTGCAACCCATACTCTGTCCATCTGAGTGCTCCAAAACATTTTATTGCATAGTGCACGTGACCTCCCAGACAGGGTTGCTTGTACAGAGTCGTACTAAGGAAAGACTGATTTTTTTAATGATATGCGGCTGGGTGTAGATATTTTTCTAGATAGAGTGTAGGGACGCAAATTCGCAGTTTCTTCAGCCGTATCAGTACTTGACGTTTAAAAAAATGTAAACTTTAAAATACCGTTTATATACAAACCACAGACGTTGAAACGTAACTGACCACTTCGACACTGTAACAATGAATTCCGTCAGCCGATTGTAGTCAAATCTGATTGGCCAGCGTAAGGAGGCTTGTTTATTTTACCCAGAACATGCAAATGTGTGTGGTGATCATGCTTTGATCACGTACGTATCTTTGGGTAATTTTTTTGTTGGATGGATATAGTTTAGTAAAGATATTTAACCGGTATATTCATTATATATGTGTTTTATGTGCTTAGGTGATAATTGTAAAACTATTGTAACACAAACTTGAATCATCAACAATGGTACAGATATGAATCTGAAAATAGATGATAAAACCAAATGTCGTTATTTTTCCATTTCATTCATTCTTTATATTATATTTCTTAAAATACTTGTGATTTTGGTATTATTGCCCTCGCTAAACCAATTGGGAGCAACTTGTGACATATTTTTGAAATAAGCTCAGTAGATAAGTTTAGAAATTGGATACAGAAATAGAATATTCCGCTTGCCAAACCTGGAATAACGATATTACTCGAAGGTAACTAACTCTGGTTATTCATTTTTTTCCAATTACAAAGATCATAATGAATGATACAATATTTTTATTCGAGTTCCTGGCTTTTTTCCCTATAGTTTCATTGTACTACATTAGCTTAAGCATAGCTATATTTTTTAAATTGTAATTAAACTGTGTAAGTACGGTCTCAACTCTTCACGTTTTGTTTCAAAAAGATTCTTCCTCAGTGTTTGTACTAATATTTTATATTATCATCCACAGATCACGACGTGAAACCAAATATAATAGCACTCAGTAACAAAAAATGTATGGAACCCATGAAGTCCGAAGACTGCATGAATCAAGGTGCAGGAGAAGGACCAGCCCATCAGTCATCTGATAATAGTAATAAAAATGGAGATGAAAATACACACGACTCGCAATCTAAATTGTTAAGTGGTACCATCTCCAGATTCAGATGCCTGGCTAAGAATTGTACTTACGTAACGGATACTAGAGAACTGCTAATCAGACATCTGTTTCTACATGAATGAACTTTATATTCAAACAAATTCTCTCAGTTTAAGTCTTGTCTACCTCTTTCTGTGAAATTATCACTTGTTTTTTACCGTCAAGGATATTGCTTAGATGTAGTCATGTTGTCAGTGTTTGTTAA